TGTCCTCAGTGCAGTGATTCAGATCTTGGTTTATTAATGATGTACCGATGTGGAGTACTGGTAGCATGGTCATTAAGTTAACTGTAGGTGTCGGTTCCTTCCCACCCCAAAATAATTGTTGACACATTCCATTTCTGGTGACAGCTTTAATGGGGTTTACTCTCTAGCCAGTTTGCGGTCCCCGTTGATGAGATTCTGTTTTCCCAGATATTGGGCTGCTGCAATCAAAACATTGCCAAGGTAGTGTGACACAGTCATCTTGTTACGTCAACCCAGGTTCTTTCTTATTTGTCACAGGGGTGGCTGGTGATGTTTATAGACGAGAAGAAAGATGGTCGTGTCGTTAGTGGTGATGATGATGCTGTCTTGCTCGCTGCATGCTTCTCACGTGACTCTATACTTTCTTTATTATGATACTCCAACAAATGTCACAAAATACATCAAATGATATTCTGAATAATGCTGAATTATCTCTGTGGCTAAGTACTCGTAGAATCGCGTTGTGTTCTTCTTCTTTATTTACTTTGTTAACTAGTTCTATTGTCTCTAACTGCCACCGGGCTACTAGTGCAGGTTGGGCTAAAAGGTTTGTTATCTAATGCTGTCTATCTACTTATCTATGCTCTCTTCCCTGCTTAACTGGCCGGTGCTCGTCTCTTGTTCTCCTCACTCCGTCCCTAGCCTGTCCCTCGTCTGTCCTTGTCTTTTCTCTGCCCATCTCTTTCTTCTGCCTCAGTCTACCTCTGTCTGTGTCTTGTCCCTTCTCTCTCTGTGTCTATCCTCTGTCTGTCCCCGTCTATCCTCTGGCCTGTCTGGCCTTTGGGTTCCGGGCAATCGTTTATAAAGGGGTTACTAGCCTGCTCCCAGGGAGCTCTTATCCCTCGTTGTTTTGCAGATTCTGCAGCGACCTTAGCTGGCCGGGACAGTGGAATTCTAGTTATGCAAAACTAATTGTTTTGTGCAGGAAGGGGAGAGTCACATGATGTCTAGTCAGACAACTCGAAGTACGTGGGAAACAAGCGTAGGGACCTAGGGGGGATATAAGTGCTTGTTAAGCACAAGTTCTAACAATAAGGGTGAAGGCCACAAGGGGTCTTGTTGTGCAAACAGCACAACACTAAAAGGGGGTAGGGGTACTGACTTTGTTACAGTAGCACATGGTTGATGCTGCTAAATCTATTGGTCAATCATTATCCCACACTGACATAGCATAACCACAATACACATTGCTCCCACACAAAAAACACATTCTATCCTGCTTTGGGGAAAAAGTAGACCGTGATGAGGGAAATTAGCTTTTTGAAAGAATTCACAGCCACTTACAACTAATCCATTCAGATAGCCTACAAATATCCACTGACTCACTAACTCTATCCCTTCCTCATATGGGTTAGGAGCTCCATTTTGGAGAACAAAGAATAGAATCACTGCATTAAGAAGGAAAAAAGCATGTCATAGGAGCTGACTAATTAGGGTGTTTCTTTCAAAGTTAGAGTGGATCTGCCTGAAAGGCAAGGAACCAACAGTCTGCATACAAATGAGTCAGTTCTTGACTACAGTCCAGAGGTTGACAAACATCCAGAAATTTCTACCAGCTTACAACTGGTGAAAGCTAAGAAGAAGACAGGAATAAAGGAATCTCTTCTAGAAGTATGATACAGTGTGGAGAAAGATGTGAGGTATCCAGATCGCCAGTATAACTCATTTCACCTGATCTCCATAATGTCTACTATGCAAGAACTGGGAAAAGACGCACAAAAGATAAAATGGAATGGGACTGTTAAAAAGTTTTTTAATTAAGGTAAAACCAGAGATGTGGTTTTGCAGGAAAAGGCTTGACATTTCATTGACAGCAAGAATTTGTACCTCAGATGTTTTGAAAGAGGTAAGAAATCAAAGATAACTTATCGCAAACAACATAAGAGACAGTAGTCATATTTTGACAGTGTTGTGAGAAGAGGTAAACTGGAACATATTGTGACCACTTGAAAGATTTAGGGGGAGGGGGTGTAGGGGAAGAGATAAAGACAAGATGAGAAGATTCTTAACAGTGTTTGGTCCTGGAGGAACATCAACACAAGAACTGGTACATGCTGTTGGAGATTGCAGGTTATGGAGAGGCAAGATGGCCAAGCCAATCAACAGGACACTTTATGATGATTGTAACAACCAGAGCCCATGAAAAATGCGCGGAAATGGTCCGCATGAGTGGTAGAAGCAGGAGGAAGTCTCTTAGACCTTCACAGCACTGCAAGGATAATATCGTCTAGTTGCTATTATCCAAGAGATGCCAAAGATGAGGACTTTTGCCTGAGATGGGAATACAAAACTCAAGAGGAAGAATTCTCTGTCAGACACCTACATATAAATAATAACTAGTCCAAAAGTTAGAATTTTCTGTCAGACACCTACATATAAATAATAAGTAGTCCAAACGGTAGAATTCTCTTTCAGACACCTACATATAAATAATAAGTAGTCCAAAAGTTAGAATTTTCTGTCAGACACCTACGCATAAATAATAAGTAGATCAAACGGTAGAATTCTCTTTCAGACACCTACATATAAATAATAAGTAGTCCAAAGGGTAGAATTCTCAGATACCTACACATAAATAATAAGTAGTCCAAAAAGTAGAATTTTCTTTCAGACACCTAGATATAAATAATAAGTAGTCCAAAAGGTAGAATTCTCTGTCAGACACCTACACATAAATAATAAGTAGTCCAAAAGGTAGAATTCTCTTTCAGACACCTACATATAAATAATAAGTAGTCCAAATGGTAGAATTCTCTTTCAGACACCTACATATAAATAATAAGTAGTCCAAAAGGTAGAATTCTCTTTCAGACACCTACATATAAATAATTAGTCCAAAAGGTAGAATTCTCTTTCAGACACCTACATATAAATAATAAGTAGTCCAAAAGTTAGAATTTTCTGTTAGACACCTACATATAAATAATAAGTAGTCCAAAAGGTAGAATTCTCTGTCAGACACCTACACATAAATAATAAGTAGTCCAAACTGTAGAATTCTCTTTCAGACACCTACATATAAATAATTAGTCCAAAAGGTAGAATTCTCTTTCAGACACCTACATATAAATAATAAGTAGTCCAAAGGGTAGAATTCTCTTTCAGACACCTACATATAAAAAATAAGTAGTCCAAACGGTAGAATTCTCTTTCAGACACCTACATATAAATAATAAGTAGTCCAAATGACAAGTAATTTAAAAGTAATCTTTAAGGCAGAAAATGCCAAGGGGTCTCTTTTTTTTTCTTCTCTTCGATCTTTTTGTCAGAAAACGTATATAAGGAGGTTGGTAACCTTGATGAAAGCTACCATGCAGGCCATATTTCCCTATCTGCCATACAGCTTTGTCTTCAATGAGCTTGGAACAGGCCAGATTGCTTCTCAGTTAGCAGTAGATAGTTTACAGTTGAGGTAGACGTTCTGCATTTTCTGGTGCTTAGTTGCAGGGACACATCTCTGTCTGTCCCACGCCTACAAATTGGAACGTACGTTGGGAAAGTCTTTTGTGCCCTGTCCTTAGACTGAATATAAAACATTGTCCCTCTCTAGAGCGGTTATAAAGTGAGTCTTTTGGAAAAAAAAATTTGCATGGGCATCCACTCATTTTTCTTGGAAACTAGTTTTTATTCTAAATTATGAAGTCTTCATATGTTCTAGATTTTAGGACAAGTACAGAAATTTCAGTATCTGGCCACATGGATAACATCAGATGGAAGATGCATAACTGAGATAAGAAACAGAATAGGACAAGCAAAAATTGCATTTTATAAAAATGAAAAACATCTTGTGCAATATATCCTTGTCATTGAGAGTTAGAAAAAGAATTCTTGCTTGCTACATACATCCAGTTTTAACATATGGCTGTGAATCCTGGACAATCGGTGGGCAGGCCAAACAATTTCTATAGGCCTCAGAGATGTGGTTTTACAGAAGAATGCTTAGAATACCTTGGACAGCCAAAAAGAGCAACCAAGAGGTTTTGAAAGAGGCAGGAGCCCGAAGACAACTTTTCACAGACATCAGAAGGAGACAGTCATCATTTTTCGACCATGTTATGAGAAGAGGGAAAATGTTGTAACCACTGGAAAGATCTGTAGAAGGAGAGATAGAGGAAGACAACTAGAGAAGATGCTTGACAGTCTTGTTGCATGGCATGGAGGTGTGTCGGCACACGAACTGATACATGCTGCAGGAGATCTCAGATTATGGAGAGGCATGATTGCCCACACCAGTCGGCAAGACACCTGATGATGATGATGATAATGTTCTAGATTACAGCTTTTTTCAATACTTTTGTTTTTAATGACTCCATATGAGATGTGATGTGATATAGTGATTAGATTCTTGCCTGCCAGTTTAAAGGTCTTAGGGTCAAATCCACATTGAGGCAGATTATAACTGACTTTGTCTCTCAGGTGGACCCAGCCTAAAGTGACTACCAGGAAATATCCTGGGAAGTAAAAGTGGCTGACATGATGTCGACCATACCTCTTGTAGATTGGTCTGTACAATGAAATATGTGTGTGGTACCATGAGCCAGTAGCATGAAAAGGGTCTTTTTACTTAAGTAACTGTGTATTAGATTTCTGTACTGTCTGTGGCTTGGGCGCTACAAATGCGCTTTGTAATGCCGGGTTTGATCCCAGCTGCGGGTCTTGCGCCTTGCGTTGGTTTCGACAGTGATATCGAGGAGCTGACTGTCCAGAAAGCAATGGCAAACTACTGGACGTAAACTTGCCTAGGATAACCACAACAGCCAAAAAATGCTGGGGTTTGTTCTGTAGCGTCCTGTATAGGATACGCAACTAACTGTATGAAACTGACACCATTTGAGGAAAGTTTGTCACCTGAAAAATCAATTGACAATTATTGTTGATAAATCTATTGTGCAATTTCCTTGTTCCATTATGTTATTGTTCCACATTGTTAACTATGTGAACCCTTGTCCTCTCTCCCCCAGGCAAAGAAGCGGAAACATGCAGATCACAGTTCATTAGAAAACACCCCTCCTTCTGGCTCAGTGTCGCCAAAGAAATCACCAAGAATGATATCACCTGAAGTCAGGCAGCTTGCCTCTGCATCACTGAAACTTCCTTTGGCTCCAGGGGCTGTAAAATCTCCTGCAGTGCACAAGAAAGTTGTTAAAGCAAAAAACTACTGCAGTTCGGTGCAAAGCAACACCACCAGCGTCCGCAAAATTTACAGCCAAGCGTGGTTTAGCTTCAGCAACACCTCCATCTAGAAGTAAAAGGGTGTACAATAGTCGCAAGTCAAAGAAAGATTTTCCAATGCCAGCACCAACACTATCATTAACACCAGCAGCAGGTTAGTTTTTCTTTGTTCGTTCGATTTTTGTTTTTTAAGTAATTACATTGTGCTTTTCCAGATCTGGCTTATTGTGTGCAGATTGTTGGTTCCCGGCGGAGGCAAACTTTGAAGCATTGATCCTATCTTTGTTAGCCATGTGCCCCGTACGAAACCTTTTTTCTACAATGACCAGGAAGAGGCATAGATAGGTCTTGACCGGTCCTGGTGCACGACCACCATGTGTGGTAACTCACATCTGCATCCTGATCTGAAAACAACCTCTATAGCTTCAAGAGCACAGGCAACACTCTTAAGAATTAAGAACTTTACTGCACAGACCTAGCAATATGGCAGAGTCATGAAAATGTGGAAAGTGGAGCCCAAAGACTGAATGGAGACCTTAGAAGATTGCATGAGTACTGCCAAAGATGGAAACTCAAGGTTAACTGTTCAAATACGGTCTACACAATCTTTACCAAAAGCCACCAAGTAGCAAGGAAGAATATTAACCTGAGGTTAGACAAACACCAAGTGATGAAAGAAGAGCATCCCACATACCTTGGAGTCACACTTGACCGGCAGCTCAGCCTCAAGAACCATATTGAAAACATCAGGAATAAGGCATTGAGGCGGTTACAGTTATTAAAGAGACTTGCAGGTACATCATGGGGATCAGACAAGGAAACTCGGGGCTTATATCTAGGATATGTTCGCTCTGTGATAGAGTACAACATTTCACTGCTTACAACTTGCTCCAAAACTAACCTAGAGACTCTTGACAGAGTACAAAATAATGCCCTCCGATTAATCTGCGGAGCTATGCAGTCTACACCAACTGCTGCATGTGAAATCCATACAAATGTGGAACCCCTCGGGTTGCGGAGAGAAAAAGCCACTTTAGAAATTTATGAAAGATGCTTTAGGAAAAATCGTAACCATCCTAATAGACATCTTGTAGAAAACTGGGAAAACAAACAAAGAATAAAGCACAAATCGGTTTTACACTGTGTTAATGAAATTCAGGATAGATACCACCTCCCAGAAAGACGTCAAGGAATTCAGAATGTTGCAAGAAACCTACCACCACATGCTCGCTTTAAAGCTCCAGAAGTCCGAACTAAATTGGTAGGCGAGGAAACCAAACAGTCCGACCCAATCGCTCTTATGAACTCATCACTAAAGACCGTTGATTCTTACCCCCAAGAATGGATACATGTCTATACTGATGGATCAACTCAACAGGTGATGTAGAGAAGAGAATCCTGTTGCTGTTAATGCAGAGGTCAACACTCTCATCAGTGAAAATTCAGACGAAGCAGATGCAATAATTTATACAGACGGTTCCGTTATACGCCAAAGAAGAAGCGCATGAGCATTTACAGCACGCTCAGCGGGCAGAACAGTCAAAGAAGCCAACGGCGCCTTCTCCATGACAACCAGCAGCATGACGATGGAGGTGATGGCAGTGACACAAGCGCTTGCCTGGCTTGAAACACAAAAATACACCCGCGTGTGTATTCTCAGTGATTCAATGAGTATGATCCGGAGGGTTCAGGCAGGTTCAGTGCGAAGACAATGGCTTGAATCATTACAGAAGTCCACTGTCCGTGGAGTCACCTTTATTTTTGTTCCGGGACATGCAGGCGTAGATGGAAATGAAAGAGCTGACAGGTTGGCTGGATCCGCTATCACTACCGACGGTCAGCCTATGGATCATGCTGATATTATCAATGCCCTCAGAGAAATGGGAAGGATAGAGGACTTTGGTGGCAGTGAATCCACATCACTCGCCAGAATCGCAGACTTGGGAATTAAGATCGGCACAGCGAAAAACGAGACGCACACCAGCTACGCCAGAAGACTTGGTAATCAACATAGAACTGGTACTATTAGCCATCGGACGTTGGGGTTCATACTGAGGGGAGGATCTGAGCACCTATGGACATGTCCGGAGTGCAATGAGGATAACCCGACTAACTAACTAACTAACTAACTGATGGATCAGTATTTAAAGCTACCATTAAAGCAGGTTACGGAATCTACATAGGTTATCCCGATGGATCTGTTGAAGAGATTTTTGATGCATGCATGCAAACTATGAAGCTGAAATAATTGCACTGGAAACAGCAGTATACCACCTAAAGACTGTAATGGATGTTTACCCTTCAAAGGTCCAAAATATTGTCATCTTCACAGATTCAATGTCTGCCCTTCAAGCTCTGGAGGGCAGTGAACGCTGCAGAACTGACATAGCCAAGATAATCCTGGATGCTGATCAGCTTATTACCTCATACAACATCAGAATAGTGATGCAGTGGATTCCAGGTCACTCCGGCACACCAGGTAATGACAGAGCTGACAGATTGGCAAAGAAAGGAGCAACACAAGAACAACCAACTACAGCGACAACCCTCCAGACAGCAAAAACACTGATAAGAGCTATAAACAAAGAGACTTGGTTGAACAGATGGGCCATGGGAGACACTGGAAGAGAGGTTTATAGACATATGTCTGGCCCTGATCCTAATGACAGCATTAACCATCTAACAAGAAGGGACCAGGCCACCATCTTCAGACTTAGAACGCAACATACTCCACTCAATGGACACCTAAACAGAACACAGCCACAACACTCCCCAGAGTGCCAGCTATGTAACCACCCCTACGAAACTGTTGAACACCATCTCTTTGAGTGACCAAAACTCAGTGAGACAAGAAGAACGCTATTCTCTCCGAGACCAGACAAGTGGAACACCTTGTACGGAGGAAAAGAACAGCTTGTGAAAACATGCAAATTCCACTACATGGCATTGGGCCAAAGGGCGAAAGCTCATGCGCCGCTGGATCGATAACAACAACTGCACAGACCCAACACCCACGCACTCTTCGCCACAGCATCCTAAAACTCCGCTTTAAAAAAATGTCTTCTCTGAGTGTTATCTTGTGTTACATTATCACAATTGATATCACTGCACATTAAGTTATCCCACGAGGGCTCAGTCCTATGATGCAGCAGCCACTACAAGGAGGTACCTTTACTGATTGTTTCCATGAAGAATTGGTTATAATTTCTCCTGTCTCTGCCTGGAAGACAGCTTAGACATGCTTTACTCCCATATCTTCTCTCCCCCAGAAATTTTGTTGAAAATGGGCGGACTACCCCTGAGTGACATTTTGTAAGATGTTGAGAAGAGATTCATTATTTGACATGAGACCTTGTTTTTATTTCAGTAGTGAACAAGAGGAAGCCTCCAGTGAAGCGTAGAGTCAAGAGAGTGGATGCTGTCAAAACTGACATATCAATACAGACCAGTCCTGGTCTGTTGAACAACAAATGAACTTACTTCTTATGTAAGAATATCTCTGGAAACATCTGTAAAATGTAAATGAAATGTACTCTGTTCTATAAATGTCCAGGCGCAAATTTACTTATTAGATATTACTGGATTCTTTCATTCCATTTAGATATAAAGTGTAAAGCTCATTGGTTCACAGGCAGAGTTAAATGTCTTTGGAAACCAGCTCTGTTAGTTACTGCCCCTGTTTGATTTTTTTTTAAATGGCAGAATATTTTTGTTGATGCTTTTATAACCACTTACTGCAACGAATGCTGGCTAATGTGTATTTCCAGTGTGTTGGACTGCACTTCCATATTTAAACTTATCAGAAACTGAGTCACCATGACATTTGTATGGCCACTATTTTGCTCCACCAGCTTCAGTTTATGTATATTTTTTTTATTTCTCTCTCTCTCTCTCTGTCGTCTCTCTCTCTCTCTCTCTCTCGCTCTCTCTCTCTCTCTCTCTCTCTCTCTCTCTCTCTCTCTCTCTCTCTCTCTCTCTCTCTCTCTCTCTCTCTCTCTCTCTCTCTCTCTGTCTGTGCTGTTGTTGGTTTTTTTTTTTTTTTTGTAAGCTTCATAGTATGAATATTTTGTTCACTCTTGAGTTATTTCATTTATTAATATGAGAAGATATGAGACACTTATTATTTGAGAATCTCTCTATTTGCTTAGCGTTGTCTCATTCATATTCACACACACGCACATACACACACACACACATTAAGTGCTGGACTAGATTTAGTCCATGATATCAGAGGGATTGCACAGGATAGAGTGAAATGGAGGGATAGACTGTGAGCCCTTTGTGGCATACAATGGCACTACAGGATAGTGATGATGATGATTTACCCAGAACATCAACAAAAATAATTATCATAGTTTTCAGACAGAAAACAAGGGTTGCACCATGGACAATTTTCAAGTCTTGCATCTTGGTATCCCCTAAAGAGAGCAGTTGTGCTTTAGCCAACCTTCATTGTGGTGGCAGAACAGAATTGGCTGTTACTCAGTATAGCTGAAATTGTGGTCTTTTGCTTCTACTTTACTACATACCTTTCACATTCTTATTATGCACCTACATGTGTAAACATGGTTTGTTTTTTCTGGTCCTGACCTCAGTGTTCATCTCTGCCCTAACCGTTTATATGGAATCTATCTTTTGTTGTATGAACTTTCATGTTTGTGGTATTTTGAACTTGTTTAAATATTTTTTTTTTAATATTCCTTTCCAATTAGGAAATAAAAGCTTCATACAAATAAATAATCTGGTGTTTAGTTCATACATATGGTCACTGCCTGTGTCTAAGGTATTGTTAATGTCTTTTCACAATCCTGCCGTACCAGGGTTCAGAGACAGCCAAGTTTTGTGTTGATTTTAACATCAATATGAGTTGTGCCATTCAGAAATTATTGGCCAACCACTGAACATAACATGGCCTAGAAAAATCACACATCAATCAGCTGATGTTGTGTTATAGTGTGCTGAAAAGGGTATCACAAAGGTTTAAAACCATAATTTCTTTTGAAAGAAAAAGATACCAGTTAGTTAGTCGACAGATTGCACGTCAAAACACTCAGTCCATGGGTGCTCGGATCCCCTCCTTAGTAAACCCTGCAGCGTGTAGTGGCTAACGACACCAGTTCTGTGTTGGTTTATTGTTTTTCTTTGGCTGCCCGCGTAGTGTTCTTGTTTGCTGACACCCCGTTTAACATGTTGTTCTTGTAGTCTGACCATGATTGCATATTCACAGTTCTCAATTGGTTCACGCAAACATCTTCACTCTCTTAGAGCATTCAGTATATCAGCCTGGTCCATGGCTTGTCTGGCTTTCACAGTAGCCTTACTTGCAAGCCTATCAGCTTGCTCATTTCCTTGTACCCCACATGCTTTGGCACGAAAATGAAACTAATCCTGGTCAGCCGTGTATTCTGTAGAGCCACCAACCACTGCCTTCGGACCTAGCCCTTCTCTATCTTCCTGAGCATACTCATCGAGTCCAAGACACCAGTACTCACCATGACAGTCTACAAAAGCTGCTGGTATCATCAAGTGTCAGCTACAACAGCGCTAAAACACTGATGCCTTTAAAAAATGAGGGCTGTTGCATACCACTAGATGAAATAGCCACGGTCATTACCAGAACCAAAGGAAAGCTGATTCAGGTTTAGTTCTGTTTCAGCTGTGTTTTATTATTTGCCTTTGAACCGGTGGATTCCAGTGTGATTCTATTTTAGTAACACATTAATATTACCAGGTTATCTCAGTGTGTACGATCCAATACCAGCGCCTTTTTCTTGCCCGTTGATTTTACTGAATGAAAAATTTGTCTTCCAGAGTTAGACATGAGTTATTCTGTTATATCACATAACTCCATCTACTCGATGCAGGCACCAGTAAATGAATGTTAGCTATAATGTTTTTCTGGGGACAGGCTATGTCATTATCAGATTCCTATTGTTTATTATGTAACTTGTTTATTGTCCTTTGTAGTTGTGTGTAAGAATGATTTTTTTTTTTTATTGCTTCGGTGAGTTTTATGGATTTGTTGTCCGAATTGAATCTTATTATTTGCTTTGATATCCTTTATACTAAACTTAATAAAAGGTCCTTGTTATATCTGTGAAGTTATAGTGTAAGTTGCTTTTGATTTTATAAAGGAGGGATTGACAACTTTTAACTGGTATGCTAATGTAAGGCTTTTGACTGTTCAACACCAAAAACTGAGATGCACAGAATTCTCAACATACTTGGTACATCTGATGGAATTCCTTTATCACAAACAACAAGCAGCAGTCAAAATAGCAATGCAGCCTATGACAGCTCTGATTCACTCACAATTGGAGGCAAGCCTATAGCAGAACTCAGATCTGCAGATGACAGTTCTCCTTTACAACAGAAGAATTAATTCTGGCAGTCACAAAAGCAAAGTGAGGATTTTTTTTTTTTTTTTGATTTTTTTGAAAACAGAAAAGGTGAAAATGTTAATATCTTATGAAAAAGAATAATTTGTATTTTTTATCTTTTAAATATCCTATGAAACTTTTTTTTAAAAAGTCATTGGGGGGTTTGTTTTGTTAAAATGAGGGCCAAAATGCAACTTGTTGGGTGTCAAACCCTCGTGTAGTATTTCAGTAAAACGGTGTAGGCTGGTCACGTCTCTCTCCTGAGAAGGAGCCACTAAATAAAAACGATCGGTAAGCGATCAGGGACATCATATACTAGAAGAACTACACATCAAAATGTCTACACACTTCATGTTTAATTATAAGATGTCAGATATGATGGATGAGGTGAAAATACAATCAGACTGCTTCTGGTACCACTGGAATTGGAACTCTTCGCTTGCTGCTGAAGATGGGACGATGCACTTATGGGGGTGTCCAGAGTGCTGTGATGTCGATTCTTAATTCAACTTTGATTGTCTTGTCAGTGTAAACCAAAATATGAATATGTATGGGTTAAAAGTGACAACGCCTATGCCGCCATCTTTGGACCTCGAGAACTGACCTACTAACAATAGAACAATTTATGAAGCAAATATTTGTAGCGTTCTCTTGGAGAAATGCTCCTGACCTGACAAGACGCCTCACTTGTTTTCCTGTACAGAATTTTAAAACACCGATAGCTGCCTTCCATTTTTTACAGACGACTAAATCTTGCGACTCTTTCTGGCTGTACTCTTCCTTCCAGAACTGCTTCCACTGCTTCTGGTCTTTGACCTGGCTTTCCTGAATTCATCGTTGTCAAATGTAAAAGATCGTGCTCGTCTAGGCTTACTGGGCAATACGTTGCGTGTTTCGTCTTTGTGTGGATTCAGTGCATCTATTTTAGGATATGTAACAAAAACCAGGTGTTAGATAAAAACAAATTCTGTAGATGGTAGGAAGGCAGTTTTACCCCCAAAGAGCGATTAACACCCGGTGAAACAAAGTGCCACCATGCAGATGAGGATCACTCGTGGAGAGATCCCAGAAACCCCTTTCAACCATAGGAAATATTTATGCCTCGGCTATATTCAGGGCCGATGCAAACTCTTCGTAATGCCACGATACCGGGTTCGATCCCAGCTGCGGGTTTTGCGCCTTGCGTTGGTTTCGACAGTGGTCAGAAAACAATGGCAAATTACTGGACATAAAGTTGCCTAAAGAAACCACACAACAGCCAGGGGCTGCTGGGGTTGGTTCTGCAACGTCCTGTAAAGGATACGCAACTAACATAATATATTCAGGGCCCCACGGCAAAAGCCAGGGTGGGGGCTTCAAATAACACACAAAAAAATGTGCATCCCACAAGGGGAGGACTTGTGTAATAAATACTGTAGAAGCAAATCTACTCTCCTATCTTGTCAACTCTAAACAGGTTATGGGTTTTTCAGTCCAGCATAGGAAGCATGGACTTCATTGCGCCCGGATTTATCCCATACGGCTCGGTCTCTCAGCATAACAGCTAGCCGCCTGCCAAGAGCGTCCCACAAAACATGAACACTGTAGCTCCCATGACGATTCACAGGATCTTCGAAATTTCACTGGTGAACCGAACGAGGCTATCCATGAAACTAACGCAGGACCTTCAGAGCGCGAGGCAAACATCTTGGCCGCTTTTAACCGACTCACCACAATCCTTATGTAGTCTTGTTCCAGACTGCCTATATTTCAAAGTTAATTGTCTCTACAGGAGAAGGTCTGCAGTCTCACGCCAACTCGCCTTAGTATCCTTTTACTACATACATTACAATGTTGTGTTTTAGGGACGTTGATTTTGCTTTCTCAGCTTATGAAACGCAGTTTTTTTTTTTTTTAAGCATACGGAGGATCCCGTAGTGTTGTGGCTAGACGCTCGCATGCAGATCGGAAGGTCTTAGGTTCAAATCCGAACGGAGACGGACGTTTTCAACAATTATCCTAGCTTCAGAGTCGACCCAGCTTTAAATAGATACGAGGTAAAGTCCTGGGAAGTAAAGGCAACCGGCGTGATGCTGAACACATCATCCGCCAAGATCCGATTGGTCTATACAATATAGGTCTAGCCCTATATGCCCAGTGAAGGTGTGAACCATGGTCGGTTATTTGACTTTACACAGACGATCCTTCAATCTTCACCAACAACACTTCGATGAGGGAGAGATGTGTTACCAAAAACGAACCGCTAATAAAAACAACGCAAAAGCGACATGGCTTAGAGGCAAGCGAATGCGGTTAACAATTTCACGACCCTGTGGTGCGGTGGACGGGTCAAAATCCGTTTTCATGGTATTCGGACAATGGTACGAGAGTCACACCGTAGAAGAGATTGGGACCTCGCCAAAGAGAACAGTGATACACTATAGCCAACCTTCATTGTGGAGAGGGCACCTAACTATAAAAGTGACATGTCCGACAACCTTCTTCTTCTTCTTCTTTGTGTTCACCAGCTGTACACTCTGGCGTAAAGTTCTGGTTGTTCGTCCACTACTGAACTGCAGTCATGCTCCAGAACCTGAGTGTTGCATGTGCATCAGTTTTACAGATCTGATTCAATTGAATGCAGACTGCTGGTTCCTTGCCTCTCAGGCAGATGCACTCCGACTTCAAAGGAAGCTCCCCAGTTAGTCGACTCTTACGACATGCTTTTGGGGAGGCAGTGGGTCTATTCTTGTTTTCCCCACAATAGGTCCGACAACCGAACGACACGTCTATTGGTTACATTTAAAGCATTGCATCTCCATCCAGCTCATGGGCAGTGACGGATGTTAAAATGAGCGATGATTGTGTAAATGCAAGAAGAAGAAAAAAGAGAGGGAGTGTTAGCCTGTTAAGTAAGCAAAAGTAAAGGTTCCTTTTTACGCATATAAAGGAAATGAGGTGTCTGAGAAAGGCTGCAGGAGTGACCAGAATAGCTAAAATCAGGAATGGGGTCACACGAGATAAAGTCGGCACAGAACCAATTATAAATTACATAGAAAGACAGCAAATCAAATGGTTTGCCCACTTGGAGAGAAAGCCTTCTAACGCTACACCATTCATTGTATATACCGAAAGAGGAGAGGGACGTAGAGCAAGAGGTAGACCAAGAACAAATGGAAGAATAACACGAGGGAAACTCGACAGTACCACGATGTGTCTTTGGCCGAAGCAGCCAGAAAAGCTTGAAGCAGGACCTTATATCTCCCTCGACATCCGAAGCTTTAAAAGGGGACGTAAAGAAGATACACAGTGGGTGATGTGGTCAATATGCCGTCGGCCGCCTTTATTTCTCATGACATTACCTTATACCCATTTTCGGCTGGATTGGCCTGGGAGCCAGAGTAAATTTTGAGGGGGAAATCGGACTCAATGCGGATTCGAAACCGAAATCATCGCGCTGGCAGACAGGGGTCTAGTCATTAGGCTGTCCGAAAAATACAAGAACGATGTTTTTTTTTTTTTTCGTCCACAGCAGGGAGCGAACCCTAGTACTGAGGATCATAAAATTGTTAAACGCATTCACTAATCTCTAAGCCATGGAACGTGTTAAACTCACCATTAAATCCTTTGTTTGATACAAGACTCAGCAAAAGTGGAGTGTAAACAGCTTGTCCGGTCATTGGATTTCCCTCTGAACTGGTGGACTTGTCATCTGAAATGTCACAACCAATGGGGCATTTATGTGACGACACTAGTGAAACATAGTCAACTAATAAACTATACGCAGTTATTTAAATCGTTTTGTCACAACCAATGGGGCATTTATGTGGCGACATTTGCGAAACATAGTCAACTAATAAACTATACGCAGTTATTTAAATCGTTATGTCACAACCAACTGACATTTAGTCAATGTTTTTGGACATGCTGGATTAAGAATCGACATCATAGCTCTCGTGACACTCCCATAAACCTTTCCCCTTGAGTTTTGAGCGTTGGCCCGTTCCCTGGTAACTCCTCGCAGCTCCTCAGACCGCATTGTTCTATTCGCGACTCCGCACTGTTCTCTCCCTCCTAAAGGGCCTTTACGCCATATGGTTTTTTTGACATGTTATGAGAAGGAGTGGACTCGAAAACTTGGTAACCACCATCTTATTATGTTCCAGCCAATTGTTAAACTCGCCCAGGCTCAGCTATACTTAAGTTGACTTGAGTTGATTTACGAACCGACGTCACAGCACTCAGGACATTTCCATTAGCGCTCCGTCTCCATCTTCAGCAGCCAATGTAGAGTTCCAATACGAGTGGCACAAGTAGTAGTCTGATTATACGACCTGTGCTTCTTCTGAGACTTTCAACTCTTGGCCTGTCTGTAATAATTTTCTCAGTTATTCCTATTTGGTCTTGATTTTCCCCTCCATGCAACCGGGTGCCTGGCATCCTGTTTCCACGAATGCACCTATACCCCACCCCTTTCTCATACACAACCAGGGATCCGGATCTGTGGAGAGGCATGAGTGCCTACGCCAGTTGGCAGGGCACTTGATGATGATGACAATGATTCTCATACACAAACATATTGACACTTATCAGTGCCTGCTCAGGACTGAAGGGTACATACACTTGAAGTACCAATAATTGCTAGTACCTTAATCACAATTTTCTAGAGAGTTGAACAGGATACCTGCGATTTTCTTTCATGAATTGCCATTCAGAATTTAGTGACCTAAGAAAACATACAGGTGCTCCGTCTCCAGCAGCAAATGACCCAAAACGTTAACTGTTTACCTAGTACATATGATTATATACACATAGTTCTTTTCCACTTATAGTCCCTATATGTAGGATCCACACATAATTGCTCGTTCATACATTCTTACACATGTTATGTCACCTAGCCGCGTGTCTTCTATCAGCAGGATTCATAAATGGACTTCAGAATGCATCCTTTGCCCAATACGAGAATTTTCAGGTGCTATTACTTGGATAGACAGAAAATCAGCTCTTTCATTCCCTCGCACATTCCGGACATTATATCCAACTGCACTTTTTCCTTTGTTGGCACGCTTGTTAGGAGCTGCCGGGAGCAGAATCCATTTGCTGTCGATGTAGAGGTCCACGTGCTTATATGTGAACATTCAGATGAGGCGGATGTACTGATCTATACAGATGAGTCCGTTGAAGAAGGACTCCCGCCCCCCCCCCCCCACTCCAAAAAAAATGCGCGTGCTCTGCAGGCCTATGGTGCCTTCTGTATAACTACTTTCAGCATGGCAATGGAGGTGATGGCGGGAACACGAGTTTTCATAGGGTTAGCATCGCAGGGCTGTTCTCTCGTGTGTGCTGAGTGTTTCCATGAGCATGATCCGGCGGCTCAAGGAGAGTTTTGTGCCCAGACATTGGATTGAGTCATTCCAAAACTCCACTGTGCGTGGAGTTACCTTAATCTTTGTCCCAGAGCATGAAAGAGCCGACAGATTACCCTGCTCTGCCTTAGTTACAGAGGGCTGGCCCATGGATCATGCAGACATTGTTAATGCCATTAGAGAGGTGGGACGTTTGGAGGATTTTGGGAGCAGCACATCCACATCTTTGCTAAGAATGCAAGAGCTGGGAGTAAAGATCGGCATAGCCTGACACGAGAAGCATACCGAATGCACGAGAAGTCTTGTCAACCAGCATAGGACTAGACTATCAACCGCAGGACGTTGATGTGTATGTTGAAGGGGGAATCTGAGCATCTATGGACATGTCCGGAGCGCCGTACAGAAAACCCAAATCATAACTCGTATCCAGCAGAATGCGTCACTTCAAGTCGCTGGGGTCATCAAACCTTTACTTGGCAGTCCGGAGGAGACAGACAGACTGACTGACAGGCAGAAAGACAGACAGACAGACAGACGTACACCTATATTTACCTGCTTGCACATTGACTTACCTCGACTGTGGACTTGAAGCACGATCAGTGTCTCCCTGTCTTTGAGGTACCTTCTGGCACAGTCCTTGGGATGCCATCGCAGATTCCTGACATGCCCTCTTTGGTCTGAGACGTCGACGATATCTGTAATTGCCATAAGGTCTTGTTGCCAAGTTTACGTCCACGCTAATGAAGTTTGTATATGTGTGTGTGTGTGTGGGGGGGGGGGAAGGGGGACACCACGCTAGTCGAAAGGGCAGTTGATGATGATTACTATTATGTCACTTTTAAAAAAGAATTTGTATTCTTCATCACGTTCAAAGGTAAAAGTTGAACTAGTCAGCTTCATACTACCACAAACAAAAACAATACGTCAGCGTTGCGGCTAGAAAGCCTTTATCAGCACATTATTACATCTGTAATACCACAAGTATGTCAGGGCTTGGTATGTTATGGCATGTCATTTTATATTGGGTTATATTAATGTTTTGTCATGGTGTGTCACGTCAAGGAATGGTGTGTTATGTCATATGTTTTTGTCATGTTATGTTATGTCATTTCAAATTATGTTATATCATGGTACGTTATGTTATGTCACCCATGTTATGTTATGTCATGGTATGCTATTTTATGTCCTAGTATATTATGTTATGGAATGCCAAGTTGTGTCATGTTATGTTATTCCATTTAATCCCAATCGTCTTCACTGCACATTGGGAATCCCAAGGTTGCAGCCACATCACAGCACCACTACTGATTGTTGCATGAGAATATGGTTATACTATCTCCTGTTTTGGCTTCTAAGACATCACAGGCGTTCTTCGCCAGTCTGTACTCCCAGGTCACGTAATCGTGTTAGCCTCAGATATTCGCCAGCCAAGTCCGTACAGCGTTGATATTATTTGCTCTTACATGTTAATTTTGAGAGAATCCTCAGAACGGCTAGCAGCGTCGCAAAATTCACTAACTCCGTAGCCCATGCGACCTTCAGAGCGCAAGGCGAACGGCATATATAATGATTTGTTTACTTGCCAGTTGGTCCGTTCGTTCATTAGTTTTGACTTCGAAATTTCTGAATCTTCGGGCTTAGGGTGGACGCACGAGCTCGTCAGGATGCAAACGTTTCACACTTTGGTAAAAACAGGCTAAAACTAGTCATAGATTGACATCATCATCAATTTCCACTTATGTCGTTAAGCGTTGTGGGGAGGAACAGTTTGCGAACCATTGGTTGATAATATTAGCTATTGTCATTCCGTGTCGATGTAGAAGTTCTTTAATAACATCAATCCTTGTTCTCAAAGGGCGGCCTCTTGCTTTCACTTCAGATCATTTATTCTGTAACGCCTGAGTTGGTGGTTGTTCTGGCTGCATTCTTACTAAATAACAGGGGGCTGCGTGGTCTCGAGGCACGGTGTCCGCCTCGAGTGCTGGAGGTTCAATTCCCGAAAAGGCTGGGATTTTTCCATATGGACTTGGACTTCTAGTAATTCGAACTGGTCTCTGGGTAGTGAGATCGGACGCCCGTGTGTATTGTTGTGCACGTAAGAAATTCCTTGGCAGTTAGAAATCGAAAAGAGTAGCCTAACGGCACTGCCCGGGCAACATTCGGAGTTAAGAAACTACCCAAAGTATTTCAGGATCCTCGCTGGTGCTACAGAGTCTGTGCACTGTGCTGAGCTTCTTCGGATTCAGACTTGAGTTAAAAGAAGAACGGAGCACTTATGGGTGCCGTGTTCCACTATGTTGGTTCGTTGTTCAAACTTCAAACTTCTCACTAAATGACCAAACCATGCGATCTTCTGTTTCTCAGCGAATTTGCTGGATGGTGTTGTTCCCGCAATCTGTCTGATAATATCATGTCTAACTTTGTATCGGATGGTTAAGTTGGCGGATTACTTCGGGCATTTTATTTCACAGGTGTTAATTTTACGTAGGTAAGTCTTCGATACCAAAAAAACACATGGAGAAGAGAGCTGGAGAATGAGGTTAGAAAGATTGGGAGGACATGGGGAGAGCTCCATGTAATGGCGAAGGATAGAACGACTTGGCGTGAGTTGGTTGAGGGCCTATGCTCCATCGGGGGATAAAAAGGCAGAAGAAGAAGAAGTCTTCGATAATGTCCAAGACTGACAGCATTTCATTTACAAGTTGTAATCATTTCATTGCCGGCAGAAAATTTCCCAGAGGGTAAAGCTCTTACCAGTTGCACTACATCCACTCTTGGCCTTGATGAACTCCAGGAAAACACTTACTTTACAGTTGGTGTTGACTATTTGCTGCTGTTCGTCTGTGAACAAATAATAATCGATAGTTCTTCTTATTTGATGTTTTTTTTCTTCAAATAATTTGTTCACCATTTTTTAAAAATGTCTATAGAATTGAATATCGTGTCTCTAGGTGAAGTAATATATACAGTTAAGATAAGTAACGTAAAATAAAGTTAAATAAACATGTATGTAACTTAAAGGTTAAACTAAAGTATTTGATAAAGGGACACAAAGAAATTATTAGAATTTTGGAAACATTCAACACGAATGCCAAAGATCTGAGAATAATAATTTGAAAAAAAAAAAAAAAACATATACTGGCAACAAGAAGCAGACATAGGGATTGCAACCAAGTTGGAACTTATCAAAACATTAAATAAGGCGTTAGACAGGGATGTGCACTATCACCCAATTAGATCCATACATTGTAATATAATATCGGTTGGTGGGCATATTGCTAACAACCAGCGATATGCTGACGATATGATGAAAGTGAAACACAACTGCAAGAACTGACGCATATAATTGTAACGGAAAGCGAGAACAAAGGTCTTAGTTTGAACAGCGGAAAAACTGAAATAATGGAAATCATCATGTAGCAGGTCCTTTGCAGAACGTCGCTCTCATCACAGTCTGCATGTAAGAAACTCGGTCTCTTGCCAGTTCTCCCGCCTCATGAACTTTCACACTCAAGGAGTCACTTATATCCTGTGCCCATCTTCGTGTCGGTCGGCCTCTGCCCCTCCTTCCTGGTTAATAATGGAAATGACTAAGAAAATTGACCCACAATGCAACATCAAAGTAAATGGGACAAACCTCAGTAGTAGTAGTAGTAGTAGTAGTAGTAGTAGTAGTAGTAGTAGTAGTAGTAGTAGTAGTAGTAGTAGTAGTAGTAGTAGTAGTAGTAGTAGTATAGTAGTAGTAGTAGTAGTAGTAGTAGTAGTAGTAGTAGCTTTCTACCCCACCAGGACATCACTAAGCGATAAACACCCGATGACACAAAGTACCACCATGTGGATGAGGATCACCGTGGAGAGGTCCCAGAAACCGCGTTCAGCCATAAGACCATATTTATGGTCGGGCTATATTGCGGCCCCTGGCAAGAGCAAGAGCCAAGGTGAGCTTCAAATAACGAAAAATTGCATCGCACAAGGAGATGACTGGATTCATAGTAAACGCTTAATTTACAAACCTCAAGCAAGAAGACATGTTGAAGTACTTGCGATGGAAGACGCATTAGAGAAGTTAAATGTAGAATAGCCCAAGCAAAGACAGCGTTTTACTAAAAGAAGCATAGTTTATGCAATATTTCTTTGTTTAGACTAGAAAGAGAATTCTTTAAAGCTATGTAAATCCTACCTTGATGTACCGAAGTCATCATTATCATCATGATATAATATACGGAAGTGAATCATGGACAGTTAGTAGACTAGTGAAAAATTATTTGGAAGCTGCGGAGATGTGATTTTATAGACGAATGATGATAATACCCTGGACAAAAAAACAAAAGATAATAAGGCTTTTCTTGAAACAAACTGACTCACGAAGAGAACTGAGTGCCCACACAAGAAAGAGACAATCTGCATTATTTTGGTCATGTGATGAGAACGAGAAAACTGCCATATATCGTAACAGCAGGAAATCTGGAGAGGAGGGAAGGTAGAGGGAGACCGAGAGAACAGATGCTGGACAGTCTGACATGGCACGGAGGATCATCTGTGTCAGAGTTGACTGAAAATACACGAGACAAAAGGTTCTGGATAGACGAGACTACCAACGCCACACGGCATCGTCTTTAAGAAGAAGAAGGTAAGGGAATCATTTTCACACTATGAACGATATGAAATCTATAGTGCCAGCTACCGTTTGTAGACCAACTGACTCTCGACTAGTACAGTAAACATTATCCTATTCGCCTTTAGTTTACATAAATTTCACGGCACTCATTTTAGCCTAGAGGCACACAAGTGCAAGAGCGTGAATTGATTATTCTACTTTGACCCATCTGTCAGAAAACCTAACATCAGTTGAGCTGAGTTGAGCTGAGTCAAGAATTGACATCACATCACACCCTCCCCAACCTCAGGATCCAGCGCAGAGTACCAGTACTAATGTGTTTCCGCGTTGCCTTTCCTCTGAGCGTAGTATGCCTGCCGAACCCTATGGTCACACCCAGGTGCATCATTCTCTCCAGCCCATAATAATATAGTTTCTCTTCTGACTTCGCTAGAACTGCCTTGTCGTGAATCACTTCACCGGTGCAGAACCAGCCAGACTGTTTGCCTGTTTATTCCCCAATATTCCTGCATTGCCTGGAGAACAGATCCAAAGTATGATCACTACTTGTGGCTTTGGAAGTAAAGCTTGCCCCTCTGCTCGAAGCAATCCTTTCTTCACCTTTTTCAGTGTGCTATCAGAGTCCCTTACAATTACAACATGTGTATTATAAAAACCTTACATAAAAAAGTCAAGAGTCTTGGTGGAATCTTCATGCAGCTTCGTTCTGAATGAAGCCGGAAAAAGGTCAGATGGCCTCTTTATTGGTAACATACAGTCTACAGTGCTGGTACACGCTAGACATTTTCAGGTGCCAAGTTGCAGTGACACAACTCTGTGTTTCCGATATCGAAGTCTGCTGTGCCTTGTCCGTAATCTGAATATCATACACTGATACTGTCTTGAGACGCGATCAAGTTTAACTGGTATTGACAAGGGCTACGATTGCCTTGCCTCCCTACAAGCATAGTATCTCTGACCTTTATCGTCTGGAAAGACAGAAAGGTGCCAACAACATTAAACTGGAAATTACACTGTCACCTAAACGGTCCCAAGACCATCAGGGCGGCACGCTACAGAGCTAACCTGTCACCTAAACGGTCCCAAGACCACCAGGGCGGCACCCTAGAGTGCTAACCTGACACATGAACGGTCACAAGACCACTAGGGCGGCACGCTAGAGTGCTAACCTGTCACATGAACGGTCCCAAGACCACAAGGGCGGCACGCTAGAGTGCTAACCTGTCACGGCGGAAATACGTCGTAACTATTCTTAACTGTGTTTTGGTATTTTTTAAAGGGCATTACAAAACCAACCCCTGCAACTTCAACTGTTTGGTTACTTGACAATTTTACGTGGAAGAGGGAAAGGGGTGGGGTGGGGGGGGGGGGGTGGTTCGTGAAGCTGAGCCTTTATGGTTACGCACCTAGAGCATACGCCACGAACTATGCTTTATAGGATATATGTATCTATGGTAAACGTAAAGCCCATATAAACACTAGCTCACCTCTGATTGGTACTTCCTGAACCTGCCTCCTTGGCACAAGGTTACGGGGGTGTTCCGCAATGCCGTTCATATCGCTTGTTGTATATTTCAGCACGCCAGTGATTTCAACACTCCATAAAGATGGAGAAACTGGTCCTAGCATAAAGTCCCCCCCCCCCTCCCAATCACAGAGAGTGATGCAGCCTATGTCATGGGCATTCTCTTTCTCGGAATGCAAACGTAAAAGCAAGACATCACAGAAAGCAAACGATACACCCGTAATCTTCAAGAAAGTCGACCAGCCCAACAAACTTTTAAATGAAAGGTTTTGAACTACGGATCAATATCATGGCACACGGGTGTAACCCATAAGTGCTCCGTTCTTCTTCTAACTCAAGTCTGAGTCCGAAGAAGTTCAGCACAGTGCACAGGCTCTGTAGCATCTGCGAGGATCCTGAAATATATGGGTAGATTTTTAACTCCAAATTTTGCTTGGGCAGCGCCGTTATGCTACTCTTTTCGTTTTCCTACTGCAACAATGCACACGGGCGTCTGATCTCACTACACAGGGGGAATTACTTGAAGTCCAAGTCCACGTGAGAAAATCCCAACTCTTACCGGGGATTGAACCCGGAACCTCTAGCACTCGAGGCGAACACCATGCCTTGAGACCACGCAGCCCCCTTGTAGTAGAACAAGCTCCTAAACCAGGTTATAGATAAGTTGCAATTGTGAATGGATTAAATTGATACTGACCTCCGTATCTGACTATCACAAACATGTCCGTGGTTATGGCGGGACAACACCAACAGACACGTTGACTTTGATTTTTTGGGATAAAATCTGACCTTGGATGTCAAAAAACACAAAAATAGCACAAAGCATTTAGCAATCAAATCAATCTTCCTCTTCTTCTTTGTTCACCGGCTGTAAGCTCCTAAGGAAAGTCCCGGATGTTCGTGCATTTGGACTCTGGATTTGTTCCAGGGCCTGAGTTTTGCGTTTACATCCATTTTATTGGCTTTTTTTGTGTGCAATTGCTTGTTCTTTGTCGGCTCTGTGGCTAAGTCGATGCGAACGCTTCGTAATGCTGGGTTGTCGGGATCGATCCCAGCTGCGGGCCATGCCCTTGCGTTGGTTTCGACAGTGGTATCAAGAAAGCCGACCGTCCAGTAAGCAACGGCAAACTACTGGACGTAAATTTGCCTAGAAAAACCACACAACAGCCAGGGGCTGTTGGGGTTGGTTCTGCAACGTCCTGTAAAGGATACGCAACTAATCTGCTTGTTCATTGCCACTCGGGCAGATGCACGCCGACTTCGAAGGAAGTCCCTAATTATTCAACTCCTACGGGATGCAGTAGGTTTATGCTTGTTTTCCCCACAATGAGATCCCGGAACACACTCAATCAATTCATTACAGTCAATGACGCCACTACAATAAATGACCCCACGACAGTCTGCGATCTTTAATAGCATGTCATCTGTTCATGTGCGGACACCCCTCCGTACGCTGACTAAAAGGCTGTCACAATTCTTCTCACGTTTTCTTCCTCGTTTTTTTCCACACATCTTTCCAGTGGTCACAACATGTTTCAGTTCCTCCCCCCTCCCCCCCCCCCCCCCCCCCCCCCCCCTTCCCCCCCCCCCCCCCAAAAAAAAATTTATGACTGTCTATTTCTGATGTTTATGAAAAGTTGTCTTTTTTTTATTTTTTTTATCTGATTCCTTATTTTTAAGAATTATTCCGTGCAACAA